TATTGATATCCGGATATGCTCCCGACAAATATCTGGATATTATGGGATTTCGAAGAACAGTAGCTGCACTGTTCATACAGTAGGCTATTGGGGGTTTGTGGACCCTAGATTGATGAAGTTGAACTTTTGTTTTAATTGAACTAAGTCAGAATCAAGTGATTAAGGGCTTATGGCTTGGTGAGAAGCCTTAAGACGTAAAACGTAAGGAAAAGGCGTTGTCTTAATGTTGTGTGCTTGTAGTGCATGTTATTGATAAATTGTTGGTCCATATCAGATTGTGATTCTGCTGTGTTTGGACTTTGAGCTGCGGACTCTTGGCTTTGGGTAGTTAGCTTGCAAGGTAAGCTTTCGTGTCCTCGGTTTAGCCATTGTTTGGTTCCACCATACCCCATGGGGGAATGGTTTATATGTATACTGTGTTTCTATGCTTGATGATTTGGAATGTTGTCGAACTGTTAAGTGTAAGGGCCTTTTAATATGCATGTGTTGTTCCATCTTGACAGTAAGCCTGAGTATGTGTCGTCATACAAAATGGTGATCCGGGGTGGATGCAAGTGGCGTCTTGCACTATGTGGGGGTATTTGGCGTATATAAATCCTGCATTTCTCTGGCCAGTAGATTATATTGACACACATGACATGGTTATCTGTGTATTACACCGACTTTGGAACTTATATATATTGTGTAAACTGCTTTAGAACTTATATTGCATATGTAAGTGAGCTCAGGGTGGAAGATCCTTGAGGACCCCTTGTCTTACTGAGATTTCTTGTTTAGAGATCTCACCCCACGTTTGGGGATGCTTATTTCAGGTTCAGGTAACTCGGGGGTTGAGACCTCGGGCGGTAAGAGGCCGGAGCTGAGTTAGATTATGCTATTATCATATTATTATGTTGTATGTTGGCATGTTGTGGACTTGGTTGCTGTTTATGTTTCCTGTCATTTATGATTATTGAGTTAAGACTGTTGTTGGGCTTGTTCCTTATTTGGTGAGCATGGGGTTTGTCCATGCCACTTTGATTTCCATCTTATTAAAGCTTATCTGTGTTGTATAAACTATCAGGTTGTCCGGTCTACGTGTTGTAGTTCCGTGACTAGAGACATATTTATGATTTTAATTAATGAGGTAGTTTCAGTTAGATGTCTTTGCAATATATATATATATATATATATATATATATATATATATATATATATATATATGTATGTATGTATATATACAGGCGATGTTTTTATGAAAATGATTAAGTAATCAACTTGGCTAAGTATTATGAGGTCATAATTGAAAAGAAAAAGATATTCCGCAATTTTAATTAAGCGTGGCTTAATACGATGACAAGTTAACAAACCGGGTTAACACAGGGTGTTACAATGAAAGTCTATCTCAAATATTAGTGTAGTTGCTTTTATTTTGTTCATATGCATTTGTTGCAATGTAAGCAAAAAATATGACTTATACATGCTTATTTGATTAAGTTGCATTCAAATCCCGTTCAGACAATATTTTTTTTGGTCCTTAAAAAAATTTAATCCAATCTTTTTTTTTGCTGATACTATGACTTTTGGGTGTTAACATATTAGTGTTACTTATTTAATGAGTTTTTTTCCTTTTGTATCGTAGGCACAAGGAACGAAAATCACACAAGAAATGACATATTTAGTAAGTGTTGAACTCATTCCTTCAATGATTGCTAAGAAATGACACTGAATGAATAGCGTTTTCACATTATAGGTAAAAGCTGATATTTTAAATTCATATTTGCTTGGTGTTATTGTTACCTTGATTTTGTTGATGAATGTTATAGTTAGCAATGATTTGTACACATTTTTTTTATATATCCCTTTCTCATGTTAACATGGTGTATTATAACGTATTATGGTGTATTATGATGTAGTTGTATGCAAAATTAATTATCCCTCTGAATAACATATTTTTGTTTGTGGTTGATATTTGCAAAGCTCTGTGTCAATGTTGTAATTTTTTTCACCTAAAATATAGAACAAAATAACAACACAAGTTTTTGTAAATATAAGGTTTGCAGTGCGATTAACCAACCACGGCGGACGACAAAAATTTTGATCTTTTTTTCCCGTGCATCACACGGGTAATATAATAATTTTATATAAAGCGTAACGTAGCAATAAATTTTCTTATAGAAACAGAAAAATCAATTAAAAGTAATAAAAACATAATGCTATCAGGTTAAGCAAACTTTAGAAAACATGATTGTCATGTGGGCTAGACTTTTAAGGCTTTGTTTGGGAGTTGGTTTTAGGAGGAGAAGGAAAGGAAAGTGAGGGTTTTAGTAAGCCATTCCCTTGTTTGTGAGTTTAAAAAAGTGAGGGAAAGAAATTGGGGAGTTTTACTAAACCCTCCAGAACCCTCCTTCTTCATAAAATTAAAGTTTCCCAAATTTGGGGGGTTCGAGGGGAAGAATATTAAAAATTACTTTTCAACCCTTAGCATTCAAATGTGAAAGCTACATTAATATGAATCATTTTTAAATGTAACATTAGAAAAGTCTCAAATACCGACAAAATTTATCGATGAAAAATATTTCATCAAAAATAGTGATGAAATTGTTGATGAAAATCATATAGGACAAAAAATTTCCGTCAAAACTAAAGATGAAATTAGAGACGGAACCAGATTTTGCCATAATCACTGACATAAATGTCTTACGGAAAAAAATTCACGCAAAATTATTGATAGAATCTAAATTCTGTCAAAAATTTTAACGAAAATATTTCTATCCAAAATTTTGACGAAACACATTTCCATCTAAAAGTTTCGATGTAAAACAATTACGTCAAAATTTTTTACGAAAAACATTGGCATCAAAATTTTCCGCAAAAATTTTCGACAAAAAATATTTCCATCATAATTTGAGACTAAAAACATTTCTGTAAAAAATTTGGACGAAAAATTTTTATGTCAAAATTCTTTACGGAATCTAAATTTCGTCAAAACATTTCCCTCAAAATGTTTCACAAAAAAACATATTCATCAAAATTTTTAACGAAAAATATTTTCATCAAAATTTTTAACAAAACACATTTCCATCGAAAAATTTTGACGGAAAAAAATTTCATCAAAATTGTTTATAGAATTTAAATTCCATTGAAAGTTTTCGTCGGGAACATTTTCGTTAACTTTTTGACAAAAAAAATTTCCGTCGAATTTTTTAACGAAACACATTTCCATCGAAAATTTTCAACGAAAAATATTTCGTCAAGTTTTTTGATAAAAAACATTTTCATAAAAATTTTCAACGAAACACAATCTATCAAAAATTTTAGACAAAAAATATTTCGAAAGAATATTTCGATAAAAAATTTTGATGGAAAAAATATTCTATCAAAATTCTTTACAGAAACTAAATTTCGTCAAATATTTCGAATGAAACATTTCCCTTAAAAATTTTGACAAAACAATTTCCATCAAAAAATTTGTGAGAACACATTTCCATCGAAATTTTGATCAGGAAAAATTCTATAAAAAGTTTTGACAAAATTCTTTTTTCGTTTAAAACATTTGATGGAGGAAATCATTTTCGTGAAAACTGTTGACGAAAACTAAATTTCATCGAAAATTTTGATAGAAAAGTTATTTTTGTAAAAAAATTTATCGGAGAAAAAAATCCATTGCTTTTCAACGAAAAAATAATTTTGTGACGAAATTTTCGTCGTGTGTAACGTAGAACTTTCATAAATAATATTATATTTTTTAGTAATGCGACAAGTACATAAATAATTTTGTTAGAAATTTTAAATTTAATTTAATTTGTAAAATATAACAATTATATTAATTTTAAAAATGGGATAAAATGGAAAAAAATATCTCATTAACCCTCTATTTTTCTCCCTTACCATTTTTTTAACTCCCAAACAAGGGAAGAGAATACCCTTCAATTTCCTCTCCCTCTGTTCCCCTTAGATCTTCTTCCTTCTCTTTCCCTCCAAACTCCCAAACAAAGCCTCAGAAAGCAATATAAAAGTAATAAAAATTATTAGCTTTACAATAAGAGAAATGTTATATTTACAAAAATTTTGTTTACAAACTTTACTATATAATAAGGATAGTATATAAACCAATTCATATACTACCCTTAGTACATAGTTAAGTTTGTAAAAGTTTATAAATAAAAATTTGTAAATATAATTTTCCCTTTACAATAATTAAAAGAAAAAGAAGGAACTTTGACTTTTCAAATTAAAGCTATATAATGTCATTATCATGTCATATGGGTCACCTTTTTCAAAACAATTACAGTTTACAATATAAAACCAAAAAACTGGGCATCTTATTATTCACTTGAATAATTTTCTGAAAGTTTTCTACAAATCTTCCAAGACATTAACATAAAATAGAAAAGCAAAAAGAAATTGCATGCAACTTTTTTTTTCTTATTCTAAAATGAAAAAGCTTATTTCAAAAAAAAAAAAAAAAAAAGTCTCACAATTCCGGGAAAGCAATTTGTTATAACATGTTGCATACATTAAACATCAGTACATCACAAACTGTAACTTTCATATGACTTTGTCAAGTAAAGGCAAATCCAAATATTCTCTTTATTTTGGGAGTAAGGTGCCAATTCTTATTCAAATAGAAACAATGCTGCCATTTTGAAGGGAAACATGCAGAATCTTGAGTTGGGAAGCCCAGTACCTATCAAGTGAGAACATAACATTAGTATAGAACATTACATCGGTAAAACTATTGATAATAAAAGCTCCTGAGGGTCCACAACAATATCTTATAATATCTTATTGCTGATTAAATATTTTTGTCCTTAATTTCTAATTTCTATTGAGTGATGCATAATAAACATAAGAAATAAAGCATATACTAAAAGAAAAAGGTGGACAAACTGAAGAAAATATATTGAGTTAGATAAAGATGTATTTTTTTATGACTAAACAGTAAACAGTATCATTCTGAAGTAATGAGGAAGAAGAAGGCACACCTCTTATTTCAAAAGTAGTACGCTTTAATATTATCAACTCCTTGAGTGCTGAATAATGAGGGTTTTCTCTACGCGTTGTTGATGGTAGGCAGTAATTCTGACAAGGGGCACATGCTTGAGAATCGGATGCTCTTCTCCTCCATCAGCTTCAATGCTCTGATAAAATTCTGTTGACATGTTAACCATATTGAGAACTTCAAGTTTCTTTAAGTATTGGATGCCAGAGGGCACCGTCTTGAGGTCACGAGTTCTATATAACCGGAACTTCTCCAGCGAAGGCAATGCTCCTTCGTCGATAAAGATGGAATTCAAGTTCAATAAACCTTCGAGGTATAGTTCCTTGAGTTTCTGAAACTCCCCTTCTTGAAAATGCAAACTTTCACCTTTATATCCAGAGCACCTGAGACTGAGGAAGTACAAATTTGGCATATGTTGTAGTGATTTCATTAAATCATCAGTTAGACTGGAGGATGTTAAGGACAATTTAACAAGCTTTTGAAGTTTACGAGGTGGGAATGGAAAATCAATGCCATAACCTATCATAATATATAGTTTTTCCAAGTCTCGCATCTCATTTATTGAGTAATATAGGGCACTTTTGTGTTCTTCCCTAACACCTTCCCTAACACCAGTGATGCGCAACTCCCTTACCTGCCTTAGCTTTCCCAGCTCTCTAAATAGATTCACTCCAACTCCATCAGCATTCACTTCTTTCAACGTTTGTAGGGATGTCATGAGTCCAATACAATCCTCCAATTGAATTAAAGACGTCTTATCACTCAGAAGAAGATGTCGTAACTTTTTAAGCTTGCTAATCTCCCTCGGCAATTCATGGAGATATGTACCCCTTATATCCAAGGTCTCCAGGTTCTGAAGCTTACCAATTGATTTTGGAAGATTAGTCAGTTTAATTGCACTCTTTAAGCTTAAATACTTCAAGTGAATAAAATCCCCCAAGCTCTCAATAAAACAATCAAGTTGCTTGTTTCTAAATTCAAGAAGTGATTCCTCAATTTGTAGTTTCTCAAAATAACGACGTTCATCTTGAAAATCAAGTAACTTCAATGGGTTGTGTTTTGTAAGGATTCTCCTTACAAATTCATCAGGTAAATCTTCACCTTCAAAAACAAATAGTGATCGAATGTCTGAGCTTTCAATACTTCTCATGTTTTCAGTACTGCTCATTGAACTAAAAGCACCCCTTGATATTGATAGGCGCCTAATTATTCCACTTGAGTCTAGCTCACCATCTTTACCAATAAAGTGGCAAAAACTTAAATCATTAGATTTTCTATGGATCATGTCGCGCAATAGGTCATGAACGCGACAACTTCTAATTTTACCATCAATGGTAAACGAAGAGACTTGCACTAAACTTCTATTAACCAACTCTGTTAAATATTTTTTTGCAATGTCTTCCAAAGTTTTTTCCCCTTCCTTTTTGACAAATCCCTCCGCTACCCATTGCCGAAACAATCTTTTTACTTTAACTTCATAGTCTTCCGGATATATTCCGAAATACAAGAAGCAATGCTTGAGATAGTAAGGCAAATCATAATAGCTGAGAGCTAAAATCTTTGTTACAGCATCTATATGGGAATTCTTCTTCAACTCTAAACTTAGATCTTGGCTAAAAAGTTCCCATTCTAATGGATATTTATCTTTGGTAGATAAAAGACCACCAATGGCCACAATTGCTAGAGGTAAACCCTCACATTTTTTAACAATTTCAGAAGATATACCCATAAGATCTTGTGGGCAACATTCGTTGGGATCAGATCCGAATGCCTTCCTACAGAATAACTCCAAAGATTTCTCAGGAGTTAATGGCTGTAGCTCATGCAATTCAACAAAAGAAGTTTTTTTACAACAACTTGCAACACGCATGTCTCTAGTTGTGATAAATATCCTGCTTCCATTTTTATCATCAATTAAAGCAAATTGAATCTGATCCCAGAAATGTTCATTCCATACGTCATCAAAGAAGATAACATACCTATTTTGCCGCAAGTACCTCCTTACTTCCTTTATCAATGAAGCTCGATTCATTGTAGAAATATTGGCAGGTTTGTTCTCCTCCTTTTCATTGCAAAATTGTTGCAACATGTCCCTCAACAATCCATCCCCAGTGTAGGACTGAGATACTGTCACCCATGCATGGCAATTGAAGTGCCCAATCACCTCTTTGTTGTCAAAAACTTTTTTGGCAAGAGTGGTTTTGCCTTGCCCTCCCATTCCTACCAAAGAGACGATAGTGCGCTTTGCTCTTCCCTTTACCAACAAACCAATCAAAGCAGCTTTAGGGGCTTCAAAGCCCACAACATCAGCTTCCTCAATGTATAAAGGAAGCTCTTTTAGGTAATGCGATGCGAGGTCTTGGTTTCCTCTAGAACTTTCTGGTGGTTGTTCCAAAGAAGATTGAATTGGGAAGCCATCTCTTTCATATCTTTCCTTGATTTCATGAACTTGTGATTTAACACCGTTAATCTTAGATGCTATTTGAAGACGAGGGATCATAGTTTTGATGAAGTGATCAACAGGCTCACATGGTAAAACTACACAGCCAGGATCCGAAGGCTGGTGTTGTTGTTCCTCGCCGGAAACATATTCATCAATGACATCTTCCATGCGAAAAACTGCTTCTCTCACCAACTTCACCCTGTTTATGATTCTGTCACGTGTTTCGTCATCTTCAGCTTCAGCCTTTCTGTCTTGCTCATTGATGAAGGCTTCAAAGCGTCCTAGTTCATTTTGAATGTCATCAATTTCGTTTCGGACGCCCCTGATCATGTTCACTGCTCCCATTATTAGTGGAAACACATAATCACGTGCAAATGGCCACACCGTATCCAACATTTTGTCTACCTCCGATTTCTGCCATATAATGATAAGAGGAAAACTTTGTCATTCAAGATTTATACAAGGTAAAGTTCATATTGATAGGAAGACTTTGAGTTTCCCTTCGTCATTCTTGAATATTTATTGAGCAAGTTTGATTTAGTTAATTTTTAATTACAGTGACTGTACAATGTTCTTACTTTTATTGTTTTAGAGTGTCCATGCTTGTCATTCATAGTTTGGCTGCCCGTACCTTTGTTTGGGATTTATTCGTTTTGGGTTTTGGCTGGTTGTAACTATTTGACATTTAATCAAAGATGCCTTGAGGCTTATGTGGGGGGTTATAATAATTAATACATGAGGGAGTAATACAGTACACAAATGACTTGCAGTAGCATGCCCGATAATAACATTGATTCAATGGAAAGAAAACTTTTCAGCAAATTCTTATTGTTTTATAGATTTTTCATTGAGACTTTTGCAGTTTAAAAGTTTATAATTGGTTTCTTACACTTACAAAACTTTTTAAATAGGTCGATGCTCGTTAACAATGTTAACACTCCATTAACTATTAATATAGTCTTATATATCAAAACTTAAATAAATAGGGTTTTTTTTTTTTTTTTTTGCAAAATAATGAAGTCGGCATACTTTATGAGTTCGCTTTTTTCTACAGCAACTGCAGAAAACAAATTTTTGCAGTAGACACAGAAAAATTGAACTCATTGGTTTTTTTTTTAAAATGTCAGAATCTGAAGTTGTATCCTGATAAATATGTGTCTATTGCAGAAGAACTCCTTTTTGCAACAACATGAGAAGTATAGGGTCTGTTTGATTGTGTTTTGATTTTTTTGTTCTTAAAACTGTTTTGTAGAATAATTATGGAAACAGTTGTTTTCTATGTTTTTTTTATTTTGAAAGTTAAAAACCAAAACAGAAAACAAAAACAACTCAGACATGTTCTCTAAATTTGATTCTAAAAACAAAAAAACAGTTACAGTTTTTAAAACTTTTTTAACAAAACAGGTCTTACCAAACGAGTTTTTTTGTTTTTTTATTCTAAAAACTAAAAAACTGTTTTTGAAAACAGTATTCAAACAGAGCCATAATTTCCATACTTTATTTGAGTTTTCAATTATCTTTTAATTTAATAAATATGAACGGAGTATTAACATTAATTATCAAGTGGTAGGGATCTAGTTACAAATTATTAAAAGTCTAATTAACAAACTTTTAAATTGAGTAGGGTTATTGACAAAGTTTTTTTTACAAATTTTCAAACTACACTATGTCTGACTTGTAAGACTCTACTCAAGAGTGTCTTACTGGTAAGACATAGTATAGTTTGTAAGAATTTGTAAACAAAAATTTTGTAAATATAACCTTCACCCTTTTAAATTATACAAAGTTTTGAAATAATGATCAAACTATAAAGACCTATTATGTAATTAAAATAAGGGAAATGCATCGGTGCTGTTGTAAGAAAACAAAAGTTTGTGCTGTAGACACAATATTTTAGGAGAGAGAAAATGATTCAAGGAAAGAGAAAAAGTAATAGATGGGCCCACAAAAAACTGTCTCTGCTGAGAAAAAAAATTCCTATTACAATAGCGATGCATTCCCCTTAAAATAAATGTTCATACATAGGGATAATCGTTTGTCATGTAACATGACACTATTTGTGTCATGTTACAGATACAAAAACACCGTAGACCCCATTGTATAGTAAAAAAGCAAAAAAAGTTGAAGTGGCTCCCATGCTATATTGAGTGTGTAAGAAAGTTGAGATTTTTCATGTAACATAACACTTGTATTTCCCTTGTACATATTCTTTCAAATTACTAAACTGACAGACAGTACGTACCTTTCAGTTTGTGTTTTTTATTTTTGCTAAGATGGAAATATATAATAGTAAACTGAAAGTATTTGAAGTTATAGTATTTTATGGCTCGCTAAAAGTGTTGAAAACTCTTTACCAAAAAAAAAAAAAAGTGTTGAAAACAAAAACTAAAATTAAATTATAAGAGTTAATAGGATCGTGTTTTTGGTTATATAAGTCTGCACAATATATTTAAATTTTTAAATAGATTTTTAATTTTGTAAAACTAAATGAAATTTCAACTTCTTTGGCTAATATGGATCAAATTACACATTTTAAAAGCTTAGATGCTCAATTAGAAAATATTAGATTGATTACATGGACCTATTTGAGAAATAAACAACACTATAAAGACATATAAAATAATGGGTAATTCGGTTGTCATGTTACAGTAAAATAAAATGAATTTCCTGCAGAGACATCCAACAAATGGGACCCATGAAAAACTTTCTCTCACCTTAATTTTCTTCTCTCTGCTAGACTTTTGTTTCTACAGGAAAGTGTTTGCGTTTTTTGTAACAGGACAATCATATTACCCTAAAATAATTTAACCTAATTTTTCTTTTTTGATATACGTCCATTTAACTTTGGGTTTTATAAGAGTTATGTTGTAGAAAAAGTGATTGTGTTATGTTATAAAGATTCGTTTTGCGTGCCAGAGTTTTTTTTTTTTTTTTTTTTGGTTTCAAAAATTGCGGGTCCCATAAAATGTTGTGTGTGTAAAAAAGTTGTTGTGGTCATGTTAAATGATAGATGTAAAACCCTTTAACTTTTAGATACTATTTTAGTTGATTGACAAACCTAGTAAAAAAATTGTTTACCGTTATGCCGCTGCCGGTACACGTGGTCTTTCAAGTGTGCGAACTGCAATGCGCAAGTCCCTCCCTTGAAAAAAGGAAAAAAGAAAAACCGAGAAAAAATAACAATAAAAATTCAAAATTCAAAATAACATTAATGAAATTGTTAGTAAATTGACATAACTATAGACAAAACAGATACAATAAACGACTTAATTCATATAAGTAATTATAAGTAAATTAAACATAAACAAAAATATTTAATATTAAATCACTAACATTAAAATAAAAAGACAAATAGAGGATAGGAGAATCTACTGACTGAAGACTAATTAATTTGAGTAAGGAAATGTCTGCTGGGAGTAGCTTAAGGAAAAGTTTTTCTTTTTTTTAATTAAGTCGGTATAATTTATTTGAATTTTCAATTAAGTTTTTTTTTTTTTTGGGTAGACAATTAAGTTTTTTAATTTAATAAATATGAACGGAGTCTTAAAATTATCAACTGGTAGGGACCTAGTTAATTTTTTTTAAAAGACTAAAGATCCAATTACAAACTTAAAATATACAAAATTATTTGAAAAAACGATGAAACTAGAAAGACCTACTATCTAATTTAACAAAAACAAATGTTGATATATATATATATATATATATATATATATATATATATATATATATATATATATGGGTTATGTTTATCTCATTTTACATGAAATAAATAACTTTCCTACACACACAAAAAGATATTAGGTCTCACCACTCTTTTTTCTTTCTTCTCTTACTTGTAGGTCCCACTTATAATTTTATTTCTACAATATGAGATAACTTTTTTCTTATAACATAAGAAAAGTATTTTCCTATATATATATTCTTTTAAATTGTGGATCCTATTTTTATAATTCTTATAGTTTATTAGTGTACTGACAGACAGTGCGTACCTTTGATCAGTTTGTCCTTTTTATGCTTCATAGGGTTTAACATAAATTTAATAACTCCTTACAGTATAGTTAAATCTCATATAGTATCTCACCTAAAATAAAAAATTCTCATATAGTATTGGTGGTATTGGTAGCAAAAAGAAGAGTTCTTCTTGGTTTTATTGAAAAGATATGACAGTTAATTTTTAGGGTCGCCAACTTCTCATATTGCTATAAAAAAAAATTTCTTATGTTATCAATTACAGTTATGTTTTATTGATAAGATATAGATATAATATTAAAATTATTTTTTCTTTCTACACCACATCAGCCAATAACCTCCTGAGATGTGAAAGAAAAAAAAACAAATTTTAAAATTATAATTATGTTTTATCAATAAGATATAGTTATAATTATTTGTTGCAAAAACATTATGAGAGGTGATTTTGCCTAATATTTATATATTTTTATTGGGATTGATGCTTTTTTTTTTATCCATGCTCCTCGATTTCTTCCTTTTGGGTTTTGGATGGTGGTAACTTTTTTCCTTTTATTTAAAGACGCCTCTTAACATATAAATGGCATGGGGTTATACCATCTAAGGGAATAATATGGTCCATCAATGATTTAGTCTATATCGTCAAATAATATAGATAAATGTTATGCATCGAATAAAAATAATAATTATTATGTAGGTTGTAATGATTTTTTGGATTTTTTCAATAAGTTTATGTAGTTTAAAAGTTGAGTTATATTTATCTCATCTCACATAAGACAAGTCAAGTTTTTACACACATAAAATAAATATGGGTCTCACCTTTATTTTTGTCTTTCCTCTTACCCGCAAGATTTAATTAGCAAGTGAGTGCCCAAGAGATTGCTTTGGTCAATGGTTCAAATCTTGGCTAAAGCAATTCTTTGAAATTTTTTGGGGGAGTAAGAGGGAAAACATCTAGTCTCACCCTTCCTTCAATGAGTGGTCCAATGCACCATGTGTTTCAATGAGGAGTTACTTTTAAGACCGTATTCCGAGGACAAGCGGTAGAGTTTGAGCGGAGATACCTCCAAGTTACATACAAAAAAAAAAATTAAATTAAATCTCAATGTCTTTAGCTAATATTAATAAGGATCAAGTTACAAATTTTAAAAGCTTAGATGTTCAATTACAAATTATTAGATTATAAGGACCTATTTGAGAATTAAAAATCACTATAAAGACATATAAAGTAATTTAAACTATTTTTTTTTTTGTGACATACATCCTTTTAAAATTCAGATCCTATTTTAGTTGATTGACAAACTTAGTAAAACAAATATCAAAATAATACAAAAAAATGCTTACCACTATGGGGCTGCTGGTACACGTCGTTTGTCAAGTGTGCGAACTGCAAAGCGCTAGTCCTTTCCTTGAAAAAAATAAAAAAA